GCCCATAGGACGCACCTAGCTTTTGGGGGGAAATAAAGAAAAATATTATTTCCCCCCCAGGTGCGGGGCTGGAAGAACCAGGTCGGGGAACAGCGGGAAGGCGCGCTCCGCCTCCCCGCTGTCCCCCGAGCGTGTGGGGCTGGCGATGGGGAGAAGTGCGCTGAGCCCGAGACTGCAGGCACCTCTGCGCAGCCATCGTGCACTGACCCCTCTCGCTCTCCAGGCTTCAGCGAAGTCTGCATTACCCCATAGGACACACACACATTTCCCCTTCATTTTTGGAGGGGAAAAGTGTGTCCTATAGGGGCTAAAAAATACGGTATATTTCTACATTCCTGATCATTGTACGCACAGGATCACAGAGCCTTCAGTTCTTGTACACAACAGAACTTAGTTTAGATTGCTGTGGCAACTATCATTTTTGCTGTTTTTCTTCTTTTGATTGATTTAGTGCAAATAGTCCCTATTTAAAGTAACTTCTGCTTAAGATAGCGGGAGACTTTCAAAATCCCTAGGTCCTACCACCATGTTTTTCTCCTAAAATATGAAATTTACAGTATTCTAATGTGCCACACTTTGATATATTTTTTGATTTCCGTGTTCTGGGTTTGTTTTTGTTTTAAAGAGGAAGCCCCCATATGAAAGGAACACCACACTATAAGGAAGAACAATGTGCCCCATCATTAAATCTAGAGAAGAAGCAAGTGTTGGATTTGCAAGCATCTATAACCAGGTATGGCGAATCATCATTTATGCAACACTTGAGGCCTTGAGAATATGGGACTGTGTGATGCTCTCAAAGAAAATGGCCTAGGAGAATCTTGAGGTGATATACATAAGATACGTTATGAAATTGCACCAAACAATTCATGCACTCTCTTCCCCTCCTACTTTCAATTTTGGTTAACTACAGTCTGATCCAAGAACTCTTGTCAGCATTAACTGTTTAGAATAATAAGCTCTAATTGAAGCTGGCTTGTTTTAAATTCAACATAAGTAGTATTAACCACAGTTTTTCAATCAGAATAGCATAACAAACCATCCTAAAACCATACTCTTCATAGCCATGTGGGGTGGGATGGAGAGCACATAAGTCAGAGGCTCACGGCCACTCATTCTTGCTCATGCACATCATACTAAACCATGGTTTTGCATGACAAGTGAGGACAGCTGTGGAATATTTTATTCTGCCATTAGATGAAGTTAGCTGTTGGATTATTACTGTACATTTTCTATGATTTAGCAAGCCCTCTGTTTTCTGATATTTATGCAAAAAGCCCATTCCCATGCTTTGGAAAAGTTGAGGGTACACTCTGCTCCTCTAGAAAGGAAAATTAGAATGAATTAAGAAATGATATTCAGGTTTTGTATGGCAATTGAAGGAGACTGATAGCATTGTTCAAAGACTTGCTCTTAGATACATTCAATATTAAATCAGTACCGAAAGGATCTTTGTTGTGGGGTCTTTTAAATAACACTTTAATAACTGTGTGCTCGTGAGGGTAAATGTGCAGGGGAGAAGGTTTGCCTCCTTTCCCCAAACATCCCCATATTAGAGGAATGCTTGCTTTTCTTTTCAGATTTATCTGTGTAAAAAACAAACAATTTGTCACTGTGGGTGAAGTTACTGTATTGGTAGAAATATTCTCATTAGGAAACTGGAAAAATCTTTTTTTTTAAAGCAATTTATTGGGTTTTGCAATAGAAATAAATGTAGTAAACAATATAGCATTCGTCTTAACATAGTTTCACATTTTCTTTGGACTTCCTCACATCTCCCGCTCCCACCTTCATCATTATAACATTTTGTCAGCAATTTATCATCTTATTTAAATTCTTATATCTCTTCGATATTTCATAATCTTAAAGTTCTCATAAAGAGTTAAACTTTCACAATTTTTCTTGTTTCCTTAAAAATTTCTAAGTTAAGTGGTGCTCAGTTATTTAGTCCAGCATCTTATTCAGCATTCAATCAAATCACAATGTTTTTGTAGGTAGTTCTTAAATTTCTTCCAATCCTCCTCAATTCTCTCTTCTCCCAGGTCACGGATTCTGCCAGTCATTTCAGCCAGTTGCATATAGTCTATCAGTTGCATCTGCCATTCTTCCAGTGTGGGTAGATCTTGGGTTTTCCAATGTTTTGCGAGTAGTATCCTTGCTGCTGTTGTTGCATACATAAAAATGTCTGGTCCTTCTTTGCCACCCCTTGGCTGACAATACCCAAAAGGAAGGCCTCTGGTTTCTTAGTGAAAGTATATTTAAATACCTTTTTCAATTCATTATAAATCATTTCCCAGAACGCCTTCACTTTAGGGCATGTCCACCAGAGGTGAAAGAACGTTCCTTCACACTCTTTGCATTTCCAGCACTTGTTATCAGACAGGTGGTAAATTTTTGCAAGTTTGACTGGGGTCATATACCATCTATAAATCATTTTCATTACATTTTCTTTCAAAGCATTACATGCAGTAAATTTCAATCCATTACTCCACAGCCTTTCCCAGTCCTCAAACATAATATTATACCCAATATCCTGTGCCCACCTTATCATAGCCGATTTAACCATTTCATCTTGTGTATTCCATTCCAACAGCAAGTTATACATCCTTGAAAGTATCTTAGTCTTTGGTTCTAACAATTCTGTTTCTAATTTCGATTTCTCCACCTGGAACCCTAGTTTCTTATCACTTTTAAAAACTTCTTTAATCTGAGCATAGTGTAACCAATCTCGCACTTTGTCTTTCATTTTCTCCAAGCTCTGCAATTTCCAATTGTCTCCATCTTTTCTAGTATTTCCCAATATTTTGGCCATTTGGCCTCCATATTGGGTCTTTTCGGGCCTTAGCTTCCAAAGGTGAAAGCCACCTTGGTGTTTTATTTTCCAGCAAGTCTTTATATTTTGTCCAGACATTAAACAGTGATTTTCTAACAATATGGTTCTTAAAGGCCTTATTTGCTTTAACTTTGTCATACCATAAATATGCATGCCATCCAAAAACATTGTTAAACCCTTCCAAATCTAACACATCAGTGTCTTCAAGAAGTAGCCAATCTTTTAGCCAGCAGAACGCTGCGGCTTCGTAATACAACTTTAAGTCCGGCAGGGCAAAGCCCGCTGTTTGGTTTGCATCGGTTAGTATGTTAGAGTTAATTCTGGGCTTTTGCCCTGCCAGACAAACTTCGAAATGTCTCTCTGCCACTTCTGAAAGCACTCCATTTTGTCCAATACCTGCAGTGTTTGAAATAAAAACAACATTCTTGGCAATACATTCATCTTAATCGCAGCAATTCGGCCTAACAAAGAAAGTTTCAATTTTGACCAACTGTCTAAGTCTCTCTTAATTTCTGTCCAACATTTTTCATAATTATCCTTAAATAGACTTAGATTTTTTGCTGTTATGTTTACCCCTAGGTATTTTACTTTTTAACCACATTAAGTTCCGTCTCATTCTGAAACCGTTCTGACTCTGTCTCAGTCAGATTTTTCCCCAAAACCTTAGTTTTCTGTTTGTTTAATTTAAATCCCGCCACCCGACCAAAATCATTAATCAATTGTAATACTCTTTTCGTACTAGGCTCTGGCTTCTGCAGGGTCAAAACCAGGTCATCTGCAAAAGCTTTTAATTTATATTGTTTCTGACCAACCTGAATTCCTTCCACCAGCTGGTCCCCTCTAATCATGTTCAATAGCACTTCCAGGACCGAAATAAATAACAAAGGGGAAATAGGGCAACCTTGTCGTGTCCCTTTTTCAATTTTGAACTCTTCTGTAACCACATTATTAACTATCAGTTTTGCTTTCTGTTCTGAATATATCGCCTCAATCCCATTCTCAAAACCCCGTCCCACTCCCATCTCTTTTAAGTTTCCCATCATAAATTTCCAAGAAATGTTATCAAAGGCCTTCTCCGCATCTATAAAAATTAAAACAGCTTTTGTATTTATGTCAGTTTGGAGAAGTTCCAAAATATCAATAATGTTCCTTGTGTTAGCAAACAAATGTCTACCTGGGAGAAAACCGCCTGGTCCTTATGAATTACCTCATTTAAAACGTTTTTAAATCTACTTGCCAAAATATCTGCAAATATTTTGTAATCCACATTTAAAAGGGAGATGGGACGGTAGTTCTTCAGTTGTGTCTTTTCAGTTTCTGACTTCGGTATCAATGTGATAAACGCTTCCTTCCACGAGTCCGGTGCCCTCTTCCCCTCCATAATTTCATTGCTAACCTCCATCAAAGGTTGTATCAAATAGTCTTTTAGTGTCTTGTAATACTTGGAGGTCAGCCCGTCTGGCCCTGGAGATTTGCCAAGTTGCATGTTCTGAATAGCTTGTTCAATCTCCTGTCGTGTTATTTTAGAGTTCAGGATTGTCCTATTTTCTTGTGACAGTTTAGATAATCCATTTTTTGCCAAAAATTGTTTAATCTCAACTTCGTCTTGCGGCCCTTGGGTATATAATTTTTTAAAATATCTGGAAACTGGAAAAATCAATGAAAAAAATGTAATAAGCCTTGAAAAGTACTTCTCTGTTGAGTGAATGGACCTATTTCTTTCAGCCTCAGTGTCTGGGGAATGATGTGTCTTTCTTGTAGCTTACAGTCCATGCTGGAGGATCTCCTTGTTGCTACTATTGATGGTTTCCTGCATCTTATTCACTGGGATGGCATGATGAATGGAAGGAAAGCCATAAACCTCTGCACAGTCCCATTTTCAGTGGATCTGCATTCTTCTAGAGGTATTACTTCTCTGCCTGGGCGTAAATGGGAGGAAACGCTTCACTAAAATGAAATCTACTTTTCTCGGTCCTTACAGCTGACATGAACATTTTCCCTATTCTGTAGCTGTGGATAGTACCACTTCTTGTGCTGATGAAAGAAAGAAATAGTGTGCGGTATGAAAATGGCCTTTTGATCATTGATCTTGTTCACTACCAGGTTCATATTTGGGATTTGAAGATGTGCACATCAAAGACATGGAATACTGTGCTACTCTTGATGGGTTTGCTGTTGTCTTTAATGATGGCAGAGTTGGTTTCATTACACCAATGTCAAGTGGATTCACAGCAGAGGTATAATTTTCTAACATTTGATTAGTTACTTGTCTGCATTTTCCAGATTTAGCTAAATGTTTGCTGCCCTGCATTAGACTTTGTATTAATCAGCCACAGCTGAGAAATTATGAAACTTCATATGGTCGAAATGGTTTAGGAAATGCTGTATGAGGGTGTGTGTCCCCCCCCCCCCGAACATGCCATTGATGAAAATAACTAAGAGGAATCTTTGGGCAGAAAAAAATATTTCATGTATGACATTAAAATAAGTTTTTCCGGATGTACAGTTAAGACTATAATCTTACTACACGTAATTTCTAAAATTAATTCTGCATTATCTTCCTAAATTTGATTTATACTTTTCCTCTCACATTTTGCGTTATGTGAATTGATTATTTTCAAATCCTTTGTACATACTGTCCTTTTAAAGTAAAGCAGCATGCCTGTTGGCACCATACGGATTCAGTCCTGTATTGAACTAAACTGCCCTTTTACTGGTTACTTTAACTTGTTATTTGTTATGTTCCTTTTTTGTAAATCTTGCAGAATGGCTATGGGGTTCCTATTATCAGTGATGCCTGGCTGCATTTTGAAATGCAAATATGGAAACTATTTCAGCTGCTGACTTTTATGCTAAATAATTCAGTCTAGATATCTTTTGAAAGAGCTACACCGTCCAGTGGCATCTGGAAGGCCATAGGTTTCCCATGTCCATTAGATGCTGAACCCCCAGTGATTTGAATGCTCTTTGTCACTTACCAGTATTTTCGCTCTATAGGACGCACTTTTTCCCTCCAAAAATTAAGGAAATGTGTATAGCGCCCTATAGAGCGAATGCAGGCTGTGTGGCTAAGCCCAAAGCCAGAACGGAGACGGAGCGCTGCGGAGCGCTCCGTCTCGCTGTTCTAGCTTGGGGATGGCTATGCAAAGCCTCTGCAGGGCAGCGGGGTGCCTGCACCCTGCTGTCCTGTTGAGGCTCCAAAGGCTGTCCCCGAAGCCTGAAGCCTTTGGAGCGCGGCGGGAACTTGCGCTGCGCTCCAAAGGCTTCATGGATCTTTGAGGCTGGCGGTGGGGGAAAGCAGCGCTTCCTCCCACCGCCAGCCCCACAACCTGGGGGGCAGCGGGAAGCGGCTGCTCCCCGACCTTCCCGCTGCTCCCCGACCTGGTCTTTGAGGCTGGCGGTGGGCTTCGGGTTGCCTTCACTGAAGCCTGGAGAGCGAGAGGGTCAGTGCGCACCGACCCTCTTGCCTCCAGACTTCAGGCAGCCCTCCAGAGCGCAGCAGGAACTCCCGCTGCGCTCCGGAGGCTTTGGCTGAATGCACCTTGAACGCACC